TGGATGTATATGATGAAGTAATTGGAATTTTTTGACAAAATAGGGAAAGCCTCCCAGGGGAGGTGAAAGTTGGATTAGGTGTTGAAAGTTGGATTGGGTAGTTGTTTGCCAGACAGAGGAGAGCAAAGGCTTCCAGTGGTATTTGCCTTCTTGAGCAAAGGTATAGGTGTATACAAGTTCAAGGAACATCTTTAAAACTGGCCCTGAACTGGAAGGCTTTTTCTGTGCTGAAAAACATCATCACATCCTTATAAACTTAACAGTTTTAACAAAAGCACTTTTTTAGCCTTCTGTTTTATTATGATGTTTTTTCTACTCTGAACTCCAAAAGGGAAAGTATTATGTTTTATTCATTTCTGTTTTCTTGGGGGTCAGTGCATAGTAAGTACTAGTAACAACTTAATGAATGTGTGGATTGATGGATGGATGACTGAGTGGATTGATGGTTACTTGAATGGAAGGATGAATGTTAGAAGAAGAAAATTTGATGCTTTTCCTTTTTACATGTATTGACATTCTGAAAGGTAATATATCATTACTGCCTTTGATTTTTAATTCATCTAATTTGAGTCTTTGGAATTCATTGAGAAGATCTAGGTGACCGCAGTTAGACTGTGCTGCCTCTTAGGGAACTCCCACTTTCTCCCTCCTATTCACATGTTTATAATCCTCACAAGGCCACTGGAAAATTAAACTCCTACAGTGGGTTCTGATTCCCACCCTATAATGAGAGTCTGACACTCTCTCTGAAGCCCTTTTAACCTTCCTGCTTAGTAGACCTCTACTCTGCTTTCCAATAATCGCTCATTTTCTCTGTGGCAGTCACCTCTGTCAGAAGCATATTAGAATTGGCACTGCTCTCATTCCACACAGAAAAGGGAGCATCCCCTCATATCCCATGGCCTTATCCCTTAGTGAATGCTGTATGCTTTGAAAAATATGATGGCCTTATACCTTCTAGGAGCTCTGATGGCATAGTGCCTAAGGCATTGGGCTGCTAACCAGAGGTTGGTGGTTAGAACCCACCAGCCACTCCTCAGAAGGAAGGTTGGGCAAGCTACTTTCATACCGATGCCAAACTCAGAAACCCAAGGAGGGGTCGCTTTGAGTCGGATCTGACTCGATGGCAGTTGGTTCTAGAATGCCTTGCAAAGGGACATTCTCTGTGTGTGTGTGTGTGTGTGTGTGTGTGTGTGAGTGTGTTTGCCTATGATATTCTTAGGTTGTGAGATTTGGTCATACCACTTTTCTGATGAGGCTTTTAAATGCTTTCCCATTGATGTTCACTGAGTTTGTTCTCTTGAGATCTCTTGGTTGAGTATTTTCTCACCTGTGCTTTTCTGGCACTTCTGGATTTTGGTATTCATAGCATTTCTATTGTGTGTCTTCTTGACACACACGCTGATTGGAGCATGAACTCCTCAAGAGTAGAAGCCATGTCTTACTCATCTCTGGATCCCAGACCCTAGCACTGTACATAGCATATAGTCTGTCGAAAATAACAGAGTTCTCTAGTAAATAGAAAAAACAAAGCAGTAAGTTACCTAACAACAGGCAAAGTAGAGGTAGTAATCAGGTTCCCTGATTTATTTTTTTCCATTTTCATAAAAGTGAAACCTCCCACAGATGCTCTCATTCCTTATCCCCCTTTCCTGCTTTATTTCCCTTTGTAACACTTTCTAATGTTATAACATTACTTGTTTATTTCCTGTCTTATTAGAATATACATTCCAAAAGGACAGGATTTTTTTAATGTTTTGTTCACTGGTATATCCAGTTGGGAATGTACTAGGCGGAAGAAGGAGTGTATTGAAGAATGAAGATGAGAGAGTTGACCTTAGTGGATTTTCAGGGAGTTCTGAATAGCTAAACCATATGTAGTGTAGAAGTAATAAGAGATAAAGGAGGAAGGTAGGCAAAGTCCAGATCTTAAAAGTCCTTGTGTGCCAGGCTAAGGAGTTTGACGTATATTCTAAGAGCAAGAAGGAAACTGTGGTGACTTTTCTTGCAGTGGAGGTCTGTACTCATACCATATAGGAAGAAACACCAGTTTCAGTTCAACACTTCCACCTAAAACAAAAAGACATGAACAGCTGACCCTTGAATAACACAGGGGTTAGGGGCACCAATCCCCTGCTCAGTTCAAATATCTATGTATGATTTTTGACTCCCCAAAATCTTAACTAAACAGTCAGTTAACACAGTTCTTTCCATACAGTTACTAGATTTTCTCATGAAGACACTCACACATACACAACAGAAAAGTTTATTAACTGTGCTGCTTGATGATTTGCTATTTATTAAGCAGAAGTGGATCATTATAAAGGTCTTCATCCCTGTCATCTTCCCATTGATTAGGCTGAGGAAGAGGAGGGATTTGTCATGCTGTCTTGAGTGGCAGAGGCAGGGGAGGTGGAAGGGAGGCAGGAGAGGCAGGCACACTTGGTATAACTTTACGAAAGTATATTGTAATTTCTATCTGACTTTTTTGCTTTTTCATTTCTTTAAAAATGTTTCTATATGGTACCAATCCTTTTTCCACCATGTGCTTTAATTTCACTGCCCGCATCATCAAAGGATCCATGTTGTAAAAGAAAGTAAAAGCAGTCTTTAATAAATGGAACCCTTCTGCCAGATTGTCTAATGCCAGTTTGTTTTCTGGCGCTGCTGCTTCTGTGCCTTCTTCCTCAACGTCTGACACTGGTTCAGAAGCACTCGTCTCCATCAAGTTGTCTTCTGTTAATTTCCCTGGTGTGGTGTCTATTAGCTCTTGAATTTCTCCAAGATCCATATCTTGAAAAAAATCCATGTATAAGTGGACCCATACATTTCAAATCAGTGTTGTTCAGGGGTCACTTGTACATTGGGAGACATCAGAAGAAAAGAGAAACATAGGGCTTGAGAAAAGAAATGGAAAATGAAGGCAGGATCAGAGTAAAAGTTTTTCTGCTGTAGTCTTATGCCTTAGTCTTCTGTTTTTGTGTCTGTTTGACAAGGAGGAGGACCAGTAGAGCTGAGTCAGTTTCCTGGGTTCTGATGGTCTCTGACATTGACTTACTAGAGGCACGCACTCCTGAGTTTTGATGATATTTGAGAATTTCTGTTTGGGTATGATGCATGAAGACTACCTTTTAGCAACATGGACTTTGAGTAAATTGAAAGTTACCCAAAATTTTTCTTTGAACTAACATCTCAGATATCCCTTAGAGAGACATACAGTAGGACCAAACAGAGCAAGTTAACAACTTAAATAACTTAAGAATGTAGGTAATATTGAGGATGAGGTTTATTATATGATTTTCTTTCTACTTTTGTATGTTTGTTGTTATCATGTGCCATTGAGTCGGACCCAACTCATAGCAACCTCTTCTTGGGTTTCCAAGGCGGTATATTTTTTAATCCAAGATCATATCCAAGATCATATATAGGGTTGGCAGACAGTGGTCCTATAAGTTAATGTAAATGATCAGAATTCCCAGGTGTATAGTAGAGCTGACAAGGGGCAAGTTTATGGTCACTGCTTGGTCACAGCCAGCTACCCAGAG